TGTTAAAATGACTCTTTGTTTGTGAACAGCTCGTGTTCGGCTCGTTAAGCAAACGAGCCGAACACGAGCTGAGCATGGCTCGCTCGTGTTCGGCTCGTTTACACCCCTAGTTGTACAACACAAGTCCATGTTGCAAGTAGCAAGCAATATAATAGTTTGTTTATCGACCCACGAGGAAAGGCCTAACAGTTATTTCCGAAGAAAAATCTATAGTTTACTAATCTTGTGAACATAGCTTGTCGTGATCGCAAGAGATGTTTGAATCCTAAAATCCTAACAGAATTAGAGAGCAGATGCTAGAAACAAATAACGCGGAGAAAATCTTAGGAGTTATTCAAGAGTGATGAGACTCGGGCCTCTGTGATTTGAGGATCTTTTGAGGATCTGAGTGGATTGTGGTGTTCTTAAATATTTATCTACGTGATAGTTGTCAACCAGAATTATAATCTCTTCGTATGCCTATATATAGATCAAAAGAAGATCAATATCAATGAAGTTGAAGCTTCCTCAATCCCCATGATATTCTACATAAATAGTTGCAGAATCCTACTTAAATATGTCCATCCTCTCATAATTATATGGTTAACCCTTTCATTTTTGCTATGCAACGGTTAGAGGTCATAGTTTCATGGAAGATTTTAACATCCTAGTTAGCCAGAGTAGGAGTAAATTAAACTTGGAGGTTAACCAACAACATAGGCCATGAAAGCACAGAAAATGCTACAGGAAAAACTTCTCAGAAAATCACAAAAAAAAACACTGCTCCTACATCACAGAGACACGAAAGAGAGTTTAGCTACGTACTGTCAAGAAAACAAAAGACAAGAAATCCATATCTTCATTGCAAAATATAAAAGAAAGTAACATTTACAATCAAGATTTGTCCTCTCTCCAAGAACCGCACCTCTCCCTCTTATACAAACTCTCTCAAAACTTTCAAGAATACAAGGTAGAAAACCTAGCCCAAAGGTTTCAACACAAGGAAGGAAAAAAACATAAATGAAGCACCAAAAAGCACCCTAATCCTTGTCTTTAATTGTCTCAGAACTCTCCTCTTCTCCCAAAAATCTCTAAGTATCATTTTTATATCTGAATCCACAAATTTAGTAAGGGAATTTCTTTCCAAAATGATTTACTGTTTCGTCGGCATGGTCATGCTGAAATGTGGAGTGGTCTCACTAGGTCTCTAAATTGGGCGATGTGGTCATGCCCGACCCTCATTTGGTCACGTTGTAGGCCTATAGTTATGGCATGGTCACACCAATAATCTCGATGAAATGGTGTGTTCATGTTGCTTCCAGGCATGATCACAATACTTTAGGCCCCTTTTTCATTAAATTTTCTTGTTAAAAAATGTTCATTTTCTACACCTATAATCTACACAACATAAATAAAAGCCTTTCTTAAGTATAAATATTTGATAAATCAGCAAAAAAAAATAAGTAAAATTCACGGTAAAATGTAGTTTAAATCACCTAAAATCGATGCATGTCACTCGACATAGGCCAACAACTCCCGCAATACTCCACCTTCAGAATCATTAGTTGTCTGCACAAAGTAATTGACCACCTCATCCATTTGACATTCAAGAGGCCCAAAGACATCGGTCGTCCCCTGCAAATCTCTCTGAAAGACCTAAAAGATCGACAAACTGTCTACCATCATCGTCGTTTAGTTGTTGGTTGTCAC